GTTTTGTTTTTTTTGGGGCAGAAAAAGCGCTACAAAACCTACATCAGAGGTGCACAGAAGCTTTTCTAGCTAATTTTTTATTTTTTTTGGGATGGGATAGTATGCATAGTGTCCCTAGGAAGAACTTTGATTAACCAGGTTAATATATCTTTAGGATTTGCAATGCCCAGTTATACCTTCACCGTATACCTGGTTACACAATTCTTTTTGGTGAAGTTATTTAAAGAACTATGGGGTCAGTGCTTTTCCCCATAGTTCTCGCCAGTGTCATGGGAGGACACAAACTAGCATCCTCCCGTCACCCAAAGCTCAGTATACCGCGAGCTACAGATACAGATAGCTTCCGGTATACTGAGACCGCCGGAGCTGGGACAGATCCTGACATTACTGTCGAGATCCCCCAGCTGAGTGAGTGACAGCTGGCTCTGCTTATCTAGAGACAGAGCTACCTGTAACCCGCCCCCTCCCCCGTCCTTTCCTCCAGTCAGCGCTGGAGGATCAGAGCGGGGAATCCAGCCACTCCCCCGTCGCGGCAGAGAGCTGTGACGGGATCGAGAAGTGAGCGAACTCCGCTATGTGTTCGCTCACTTCCCGATCTACTGAGCAGACCTGTGACAGTCTCATTGTCACAGGTCGGCTAGAACTATGAGGTGAGTGAAAAGCACTCACCTCATAGTTCTACTTTTTAAGAGCTGCTGTTTATAAACAGTACGTTGACTTTACAGAAGGATGTAATACTTGCTAACAACCAGTAGGTGGTAGTAAAGACTTTGCCATGTTAATACTTTTTGTCCCGGCTTTCAAATGTAATGGCAAATGAAACATTTTACAATTACAAAAGTAATGGAGGAGACATTTTCTAATGGCGACTCTTCTGGTGACAGCCACTAAGAGGGAATTTCCCCCCACTTGGTTCTCATTGGGAGAGAAACAGCATAAAAAAACAAAAACCTGACTGGTTTTAACCATTCTATAATTGGTCTAAAACTAAAAGGATTTGGGCTCGAGTCCCCACTGCAAGGGTTAAATGCTCATTAAGTCAGGAGGGAGGGTGAAGAGTCAGAATCCCTTAGCCCCCCTACCCCCAGGTCTGGCACCCTCCTCCCTAATGCTCCTGGCTGTGGGCAGTCCTTTGGCATTGCCCTGCATTTTTTGTGGAGGAGGCAGGGGTGCAACCACAAAATTCGAGGGTAGGCTTTGTGGAACAAAGTAAATATTACTCCATATTCCTCGATTTTTCCAGCATCGCTCTTCAATCTATCTATCTATCTCTATCTATCTATCTCCATGTCATGTAGCAGTTGGTCATCTTCTCGAGTTATTCGGCTGTAGTTTTGAAAGCTTTAGCCATATAGTTTTCCTGGCCAGCATACTAGTAGCATTATTCCACTGGCTAACAGGTTACACAAACTGGGAAGCTCATAGAAGGAAATGTGCCGAGAGGCTTCTGAATGACTCATTTAATATCATTAAAATGTTGCTTTGCTGTGTTCTATTTTTTTCATAGTGCTGGCAGAAGATGCAATTAGGGCTGCCTTAGCGGATTACAGACTGAAGCAGGATAAGGAGCAGACGGTGGCGAGCGGCTAGCACCTCACCTTTTCAGCAGAGCGCCTTGTCACCTTCATATGCCGTTCTCTTAGGAAATAGGGCTTGCCTTTACCATCAGAACAGCAGAATAAAGAAACGCACAATAATAAAGCAGCTTGTCCCACTGTGTGAATGTTTTTGTTGTAACTGTATAACCTTTTAGTTTGCAAGCTGTGCCAGTGAACAGGTAACAAGTATTGGCATTGTTCCTGACATACTGAGTAAATCTGTACAGGTAAAAATAATTGCAACTACTTATGAACTCAGGGATTTTTCTCAGTCCCAAGGCTACATATACAAGATGTTGTACATTTCCTGCACTTTGTCAAAGCATATCTATTGTGTAGTGGCCGGTCCGGGGAAGCCTGTATACCAAAAGGCCACTCCAACTAATGTGTCAAACAGGGACAAATCCAAAGCTTAATAAAGGGAGTAATAAAAACTCTCCATAAGTAAGCTTTGAGAGATCTGATCATTGAAGGCTTTATGGTCATGGTCAGAGTCCTGATGAGCCCAAACATGACTAGTTCTTCTTTTTTTTTTTTTTTGGTATGGGCATCGGATAACATTTCAACAGATTGACCTGTGTCAATCAACTTGGTTTGCTGACTGTTGCTTTGTCCTGCCTGCATTGAGGAGTATGTGGGAAATAGAAGAGAAATAAACTTTGTGTTATCGTTCACTTTTATTATTTTGCCAATGGCTGGGAAAAACTGGTCCTACTTAGATGGAATTCCCAAGGTTACCTGGGATTAGGAGGTGTGCTTAAGTGTTATAAACAACTTTTTCCCTTTTATTTTTTCTAAACCTAGGAGGAATGCTGTGAGAGCACTTTCTCTACATTGAAGACTGAGCTTTATCTGTTGCAAAGGAAAAGGGGGCTTCTTTAAAGCCTCATAGTTGTATATGTAGTGTATAGTTTAAGCAAAGACAATGGATCACATGCTTTTCCTTTTTTTTTTTTTGTGTACATATTTCATATGTTACCACAAATAAAACCTTTTCTTTTGTTGACATTTGTGTGAATTATTGTGTATACAGAAAAGTAAATTTGGGGCACTGGTGTATTTTGGTTTTGTGCCACCCCAAGGCAAAACTAAACTCGGGCACCCCCGAATCTAAAGTAGCCCCTGGAGCTACAACATGGATTTTCTGCCTTTTTTAATATGCAGGGCCCTCTAGTTCTCCAGTAAGCCATCTTCTGCCCTGGCTGCTGGGCTCTGTAACTTTACCCTCTCCCCACTCTTGACACATAACACAGGCTGCACTTCACTGGACTCACCACCATGGAGATGCTGATGACCATCTGCATCTCAGCCCTTGTGATCCTGTGGAAGCTTCTCCGCTGCCTGAAGTTGGAGATTTGGGTGTCAGTGCCCTAGGTGGTCCGAGGCATGAACTGCCAGTGCATCCGTACGAGGGCCACGCACACGTTGCACAGCACGGTGACCAGATCGAGGAAGTAGCTGAAGCTGGTGTACATGTAAGAGTAGGTGGACACGTTGGTCCTCCAGTCCAAGAAGCACCAGGTTATATTATCTGTGTGAGGAGGCAAGAGGGGTGTATATCGTGGGGGGCCTCTCTCGTCTTTCTCCCTCTTCAGAGTCAGTATTGTTGGCTCTTGTAGTGACTGTAGAGATGTAGTGTAGAGATGCAGAGCGTGCTCTTGTGGTGCTGTCTCATTTACACAACTCTCGCTCCCCTGATTGCATGCCCCACCCCCCTCAGGTGGCAAAAAGGCTAGGGACACCACTGGTTCTATGATGCGTTGGGGGTCTGCAGCAGCCTGAAGTGAGACTCTGAGTTTAAAAACTCCACTATAAGGCCTCATTTACACTGGGCATGCATGTCCATAAACGGCTGATCCTGAGAGGGACAGGTGCTGCATGTGATTGCACACAGCAACCTGTTCTTCCCTATGGGAGAACTGTACATCTGTGCAAGTACGAGTGTCCGCACTTGGGAGCAGACGGGATCCATCCTGCCTGCGTCCTAGTGCAGACACTCGCACAGATGACACCGTACAGTCGCGTTCTCTTATAGGGAAGAACAGGCTGCTGTGTGAAAACACACGCAGCACCTGTCCCTCCCAGGATTGTCTGTTTACGGGCATGCACGCTGCACGGACGTTTATGCCCACTGTGAATGCGGCCTAAAACTTAAGTCGTTTGGTGACTTCTCCCTTTCTGGAGTCAAACCTATGTGACAGTTAAAGCCAGAGTCTAACTTTTTTTTTGGGGGGGGGGGGCAAGATCAAGATATATCTGCTCATCCTCATATGAGTCTACAGGGTGCCAGGACCCTCTAATACTCACCAGACAATGACAAAGTTGTACAATTGGTACGTTGCTCCTTCACTTTTGTATGAAGAAGAGTTAGGGCTTATGTCTGTTGAGCTGCATTTCTCTGCACGTCTCCAGGTAAATACATTTTACCAGGACTCCAGCATAAATTATAGTCAATCTTTATTGACTGCTATAGTGTCAGATCATCACAGGCGACATTTCGGAACCATATGGTCCCTTCCTCAGGCAAAACAGATTTTTACATTTACCTGGGTTTGTTCTACGGAGGCATCTGCTGTTATTTTAGCACCCTCCCAATTTTTCTGAGGTTTTTTTTTTATCCGGTCAGGAGTGCGATGGGCTTGGATGTTAATTTCTGCATGCCTCCACACATGCATGGTGTGAACAGGGCACACAGAAAACAATTGTTCATACCATACATGTGCGGTGGTGTGCAGAAAAACGCAGCTCAACATACATGGTGTGAGCAAATCCTTAAAGTGACATTAAACCCTCAGATTTTTTAACATAAACCAATACTGTAATGTGTGCCTTACTGTAATCCATTGTAGTTTCCCTTCTCTTTGCTGCTCTTCCTTTTTAAATCTATCTGTTCTCATGCTCTGCAGAACTTCTGTTTTGCAGCAGACTGCCTTGTCTCATGGTGTCTGTGTGTAGGTTTGCAACCTGAGCCAGCACTACTGGAAGAGGCACTCAGCTGCAAAGGGAAGTTCTCCCCAAGCATGAGAAGACATGAGGATTTAAAAGGAAGAGCAGCAAAGAGAAGGGAAACTACCATGGATTACAGTAAGGCACACATTACAGTATTGGTTTATGTTGCAAAATCTGAGGGTTTAATGTCACTTTAATGACTGATTGCTGCCATGTACCCTTTCAACTAGTTCCTGCGGGTCTCCAAAACCAGAAGTACTTGTTATTACCCCCAGGATGTCAGAATTATCTACATTTGGAGCATTTCTTGCTATTTATTTGCCTGTTTATGGCAGCCCTTGAACATCCTTCCTGTGCCCAGCTAGGCAGTGGTAGGTAGGGACTAGGCATTAAATAACAAAATGTAGACATTCAATGGGTAACATTTAATATGTTGTAGTTGCTGAATTTTGTATTTGGTCTACTGCTTCTAAAAGCATGTACAATATATTTTCCTTTTAGTATAATGTGTGTGGTGAGAATTGTCTGTAGAGGACTTCTACATGTAATGAGTTAAACATATATAGGGGAAAAAACAGTTGTGCACAAATGCTGTGATTCCTTTAGACTGGCTTTATTGCTTCCCAGACAAACTGAAGCAGACATTTTTAAAGGATCTCGTCACCGCTAAAGCTCTTTGGCTCAGCCAGCTGTTTATTTTGGCTTGCCCTCAGCAGCTATGGAAGCTTGTAAACTAAGTGAAGGGGGAAGATAGGGAATTCACATGTTTTTTTTTTTGTTTTGTTTTTTACCTATTGTTTACTTGTCCTTTGTTTGCTGGTGATGCCTCAAACAGCATAGTATTTTGATGCCAAGCATTATCTAGAACGGCAGTCTATTTCAGTTCCAGTAATGGATAGGTGATGAAAATTACAAAAACCTCAAACCTGATAATCCCATTAGAAATTAAAAATAGTAAAAATGCTTTGTTTTTAGTAAATGGAGAGATGAGCAACAATTAAAGGAAAACTGTACTGAGAGAAATATGTAGGCTCACCCTATGTTCGTTGTTTGCCTTTAATACGTTCCGTGTTCCTGACATAGAATAATCATGCTTGTTACTTGGAAAATATTTGCAAGGTTTGGTGGATGGAACAGGGTAAGGGCCTGTGTTAATGGGGTTTGAGTTTGTGCTAATGACATCATCTTGACATCAGTTTGAGACACTTTTGAAATAATTCAAAATTCACTGACGGGTGCATTAACCTGCAGTTTATTTACCTCAAGCAGGCTTTGCACTCCCATAGATTTGTTTAGGAATGCAAATCCTATTTGAAACGCACAGAAGCCATTGAAAATGGGCCTCATGGTAGTATTCGGTGTACCTCTGCGCTAGGGTTAGTAAACTGCAAACATGGTGCCATAGCAGCACCTACAGATACCCTGCATTGGCTAATGCAGGGTAGTATCAGCTTTTTTCCAGTACAACCTGGAAACCCCAAAGCCAAGGTAACTTACATAAGTACCGATCACAACTCTAAGGCCTTCTTCACACTACAATTTTGGGATTCCTAATGTAGTAGCCTACGAATTCCTAGGGCAGGAATCCCAAATGTCCCATTTAGCTGTGGCCGCTGTACCCATTCAAGCTGATGACCGGGTGACAGCAGCCACATCTGTAAGTGGTAGTATGCATTTATTCGTATGTAATACATTTGGAACAGATCACTGACCCTGGATGCAGGATATATGCTTCTAGGGACAGTGATCTATTCCAAACCACATGTAATTGGATCACATACGATTACATGTGGACTACCACTTACAGATGCGGCCGCTGTCACTAACTTAAACGGGTACAGCGGCCACAGGTGAATGTGACATTTGGGTTTTTTTGCCACAGGAATCCATAGATTCCTGCTGCAGGAATCCCAAATAGCATAGCGTGAATGAAGCCTAAAGGTCCACTTCTGACCAGTTCCATAAACACTATAATATTAGCTACAGCACCCAAAACTCATCTTCAAACAAATCTTTGCTGTGGTCCTTTTATCTGTTTTATCCTGGTGATCACCTTGTCACTTGATGGAACATTCCAAAAATCATTTGTGTTCTGCTGCTGTGAATGCAATCAAGTGAGTTGTCAGGGCCTTCTAGTGGCCATAATGTGGAATTACATTTAAAAAAAAAAAAAAGAAACTGAGAATACATTGCCTGGTAAAGAAACATATAAAGAATGTTTGTTTAGCATACATAGGCACAGATCGAATGTTAAAGTATAATTAAAGCCTCCGGGTTTTTTGCATATATCTACTGTTAGCAAGCAGTAGATATATGCAAAAAGTAAAAAAAAAAAAACGTCAGAAAATCTCGGGCGGCTGCAAAGGATCTTGGGGCAGGCGCATGCGCAGTTCAGATTTTCAGCAGGGAGACGAGGAGAGACACAAGTTAAGTCTATTGATGGCGTTTGGACAGGAAGTGCCAGCAAGCACAGAGGAGTCAGCGCTGGATCGGAGACCCACAGCAGCGCTGGAGAGAACGCTGAAAAGGACAGGAAAGAAGAAGAAGATAGAATTAAAGGTGGCCATACACTTTACAACCATCGCAAGACCTTAGTCTTGCGATGGTTGTAAAGTACTTAAAAAAACGTACGATCTGCCCATCTTGGACAGGCAGATCGTACTTGCGATCATCGCAAGCCCGCCCCCCTGAGGGGCGGGCTTGTGATGACTGCAATGAGGGGCGGGCTTGCAAGGACAGCAAACAGGCAGTGTGCGCGTGCGCACACCGGCCCGTTCGGCAGTTGTCGAACCAGCAGGCCACTCACTCGCCGAGAATCGTACGATTCCCGGCGGGTTTTCCAGCCTGCTTGTTCGATGGAAGACGTGCGACCGTACAGTAGAAACGGTCGCACGCCTTCTATACACTGTACGATTCTCGTACGATCGCGGGATTTCCCGCGATTCTCGTACGAGAATCGTACAGTTTATGGGCACCTTAAGAGACATCATTTAAGGTAAGTGCTGACATTAACTTTGGGCAGAGGGGGAAAAAAACGTATCCTTTAATGTCACTTTAACAGATATTCACAGGACGAAGGGCCCTGCGGATAGTTTATAGATAGACTCCATGTAGGCATAATACCATACATGATTAGAATCACAGACAAAAAGTGTAATCCTTCCATGTTAAGAGGTATGTTTGAAACATCGCATTAGTACACTTACCTGCTTGACCTTTGTGGCTGAACATATATATGTATGTATATACTAAAAGCACCCAAATTTTAGGGCAAAACATTTCCTTTACATATATGTCATATATGGTATTATGCCTACCGGACTGCTCAATGCTCATACAGCTATCTTTTATGAGTGATGTGCTAATAGAACCATGTTCCTGGAGCCTATATGTTTTTGTTCAGATTGTTAAGTAATTTGACCATGTGCAAACATCCTCTATGTTTGCAAAGCCCCTTGGTGCCTTAGCAAGCAACTCTTTAAGGGTGACTTTGATGCATCCAAAGTTAACATTGTGACATCCCATTTTTCTGAAACCTTACTAAAAACCCTATACTGTATACACTGAAATATTATAAAACACTATGTAAGCCATATAATGATGACACACTTAAACTAAACATACCATTTGACATTAGCCAATGAAGGAATGGCAACTGCTAGTGTAATCTATATCATTATTTAGGTTATCCCATAATCTTAAGGCCTGGCATTCAAAGTGCTCACCACCCCTATTTCTACCTCACACACATACATACCAAGTACATAAAAGTCGTCAAGGACATTAATTTATAAAACTGTGACTGAGTGTTCACCAAAAATGATGGCTTTCTTAAAGATAGAATAATTATCATTATTATGTTTATTTTACATTGTTGACCTGAACATAGAATATTATTCACAATGTGAAAAGTTAAAGTTGGTCCTAGGCAATATATAGCACTTAGAATCACAGACAAAAAGTGTAATCCTTCCATGTTAAGAGGTATGTTTGAAACATCGCATTAGTACACTTACCTGCTTGACCTTTGTGGCTGAACATATATATGTATGTATATACTAAAAGCACCCAAATTTTAGGGCAAAACATTTCCTTTACATAAATACATTGCTTTAGAAAAGCTTGTGTTCAAAAATATAAATATGTATTTCTTGTTTTCTGTTTCAGCTAATATACTAAAAATGAACTATAATAAACTGATAATATATACTCAATGGCCAGCTATTCTAGTTTGACCTAATTTGCCATTTTGACCAGCTATTCTCTACTTTTAACCAACTCGCTAGCTCCCTAAATGATCATTTTTTAATCACAAATGTCACTGTTAAATATCCAAGGTGTTCTTTGGCTAACATGTTCCAGAGAACCATAATTAAACTGGATTTAAATACAGCTCATATACATAATAAAATAAACATGAACGTAGATAGATTCCACATTTCCTAAAATAGGAAACTCCCTATGTAAAGTATTGCTTATCAGTACATGTTCAGCTATAAACAGAAGTTTACATGGTTGGATGAAGTATCAAAATCCCCTGCCAACCATCTCATCAAACCAGATGCACAGGAAGTAATCTTATGTACAAAGGTGGTGTCTATTGCTAGATACAAAATTTGTAAGGCCTTGGTGGAATTGGGTTGTTCTCTGGTAAAAAATATGCAATTAGGTAGCAGAATGGGAGTTACTGTAACAATGGAGACATTATCAAGAGGGGAACTGTCAGAAAAAGCTTTTATCAAAATGACCCCTGCATTGTCATGAGCTACCATTGGACAATGGCTTCTTTTCTAATAGGTGGTACAGCTTTTCAGATGTGTATAACCCTTTAAACTGAATGAATGTTCAGTTAAATAACTGGCAGTTCTTCACAGAGCCTGCTTCTGGAGTACGAATAGGTGTAACACTAGGAATAAACAAATAGTTTGAAACCATTCTGCTACTAAATGGGATATACATTTGCATTTGTAAGGCATTTTATATTGGCAATAAAAACATTGCATTAATATAACATTTTTGGTGCTCACTCTTGAAGAACAAAGAACTCACGATGTAAAACCAGAGCTATCTTTGGTAATGTTCTCCAATAGTTTGTAACACGTAAGCACCACAGTTCACCTCCGGCTCCCAGTGCCATATTAGATCATGCAAATGATTCCTGACTTCAAGGTTGATTATCTGCTGTTATAAGCCAGATGCATACATTTCATTGTCTATATAATAATACTATCGCCCTGCATTAAACTCCACATGGCTCTGTGGCAGGAGCCTGCTGGGATTCTTTACTTTCACAAGGATTATTGTTTGCTGTTTCACACTCAGTTGGAGTGGGATTCACTTCTTCTTTTCCGTTTTCTTCTTCTGGAGGACTAGGGACATCTGCTTTAGCTTCAGCTGCGGCTTCCTGAGAGTCACTTGTAGGTTGAGTTTCTTGTGCTGGAACAGGTAGGACCTCTTGAGAATCACCTGTGGGTTTAGTTTCTTCTTTTGGTTCAGCTGGTGCCTCCTGAATATCACCTTCAGGCTTAGCTTCTTCTGGTGACTTAGCTGGGGCCTCCTGCACTTTGTTCCCAGGAGTTTCTTCCTGGGTTTTGGGACTCTCTGGGCATTTGTCACCAGAGGCTTCCTGAGGATTTTCTTTTTGGGACAGCTCACAAGTCTTTTGAGGTCCTTCACAATTTTTTTGCCCCTTAATACTACCACCCTTGGTTGGAGATTTAAGGTTTTGAGCAGCGTTAAGGATATCAGCTTGTAGCTGGTTGCCCGAACTTAACACTTCTTCAACCTTGGCATCATGGGGCTTCTCAGGAATCTCATTAAAAACTCTAGTACCTCCATTTTTGTCATCGTGGTTTACATACTCTTTTGGTGCAAAAGATGAAGGATAATAAGCAGATGCTTTATGTCTGTGACTCATAATCACTGCAGCACACAGTATAAATATAAGCATGGCAGCCAGAGAACCTACCACAATTACAAGCAGCAGGTACTCCTTAAAAAACTGTTTAATACTTTCCAAGACATTTAAGGAAGTAGATGTGCCATTTACATTCTTCACAGAGTTATCTGTAGTAGATCCAACAGTGTCATAGCTCTGAGTATTGGAAACAAATGCTGTCCCATCTTCTCCACTTCCAAACTCAGGTTCAGTGGTGTATCGAGCCAGGGATGCAGGGTAAGATAAAAACAGGAGCATACATAAGGTCAAAAGGTGTCCCATTTTTCTGTGGCGGTTCAGTATCTGCAAAAGATAGCTGACATATAAAATCATGTCTGGTATAGACAAGTTTTGAACAGAATGAAAACAGTAAATATATACCTGCAAATATACCAAATACATATATCAGTAGAAAACAGATAATCCTTTGAACGTATAAAGGGCATATATTGGCATAGTCAAAGAAGATCTGTTCTTATATACACATACTGTATATATGTATTGAAAGCATTTGATTTTACAAAAAGATTTTTTATCTGTACATCACATTTATGGCAAAGGTAACTGTCATGTCAGTTCAAAGTAGTAAAAACAGGTTACAAGATTGTAATCAAGCAGTTGTGCCATTTAAAGCTGTGTGTTAGATGCATTGTGGGTACAGAGCTGACTCAGTTTTTCAAGATAAATGAGACCAAAGCTTTTAGATTTCCTAAATGAAGTTCACATGTGTGAGTTGTAAAAATATACTTAGCTTTTGCCTAAACTGAGCTCATGTAGAACAACATCAAGGACAAAGATGTAGTTGTGTCTCAACTATCCTCTAAAACAAAACAAGGGTTAAACTTGGATTTCTGGATAAAAATGAGGATGGGCTGGGTGAGCTTCAGTCCAGCAAAGGATATATTTAATTTATATGCAAATTAAGAATATTTAACCCTTGCAGTACTTGTAGCTATTTAAATCAAACGAGTACATTACCAAAGTAAGGGATGTACTGTAGATATATATTACTGAGATGCAAAGATATTAAAAAAAAAAATTTTGGTAGAAGTTAAAATGTTTTACCCTGGGACGAAAAACTGAAGTACATTACAGAGCAGTAGCAGATCCTCTCGTATCCCCAAGAAGAGACTGGAGCCCTGCCCCCTTGTGTGTGCCTACCACATCTGGGCTCCGTCTGCCTCTTTGTTATAAAGTGGTGTCTCCAGGGACCCCAGATCCCAGGCTCACAGGTTAGAAAGGAGAATATGTTCCACATCTGGAGGAAACACTAGTAAACCAGAGGTGGGTCTTGTTTTTTTTTTTTCTAAGCTAAAGCTTTCCAAGAGGACCATTAGGTAACATGCAAATCACATTTTATCAACTCTACTCCAAGGGTGAATAAAAAGTGAGCAAAAGAAAATATGGCTGCTGCCATAGCAACAGTTCAGACAGATGTTGGCTTTGCTGTCCTAATTTGTATTAGATAAATTACATCTGGAACCTGATTGCTGTGGTCAATAGCTTCACTTGTCTTCGGTCTAATGTAGTGGCAGTGATTGTTAGGGTTAATCAAATACAGCATTCTAGAAAGCCCCATCTTCATAATATAAATACCTATAAGAAGTAATAAATAAATAAATGACATTTTAGCTCAAAAATTATAACACTGAAGCCTTTGCAAACTTGACCACAACTGATTATCGGCACAAATAAATGACTGTTAAAGACATTATATTGGAAAACCTTAAATACATGACACTCAAGTATTAAAGGTAACAGACACTGTTGCTAAGTAATGATAACTGGTACTTTTACATGTAAAAAAATAAAAGTAAATAATAAATGTCTAGCTTTAAATGCATACTGCATGCTGAATATAGTTAGTTACATTATTACTGCTTGTAATATATTGTGGATATTTCCAGTGTTTATGCACCCAAAGGTTTCCTAAAAAAAGGTTAAAAGCATAACACTAAAAGGCTTCTTACCAAATGCTCTTAAATTCCAGATCGTAAAGAAAATTGCCTGCAAGCTACACGCCAGCTGTGTCTTAAGACGCGTACGTTACAAAATAAGAAAAAAAAGGCAGCTAAATGTACACACTTATGACTTTCCCTATGGCTCTGTGATTTGTTATAGGCTACAAGTTAGAGTAGGGAGACTTCGAGAACTTACTGTTGTCCCAAGCTTGCAATTTCCTGCAGACTCTACTGCTGAGATAGCCAGTCTCCTAAGTCAGTCTAATGCAGACTGTTTTCATTAAGGAAAAGAGAAGAGGGGGGCAAGCTCAGCCCTTAAAATAAAATCCCTCCTGCCTTTTCTGTGCATCCTTCTGGAACCGGAGGCGGGGAAAATTAACCCCATATAATTTTCTTTACTGGAATATGGATAAACATATGCTGTTATAACTTATAACAGCAAAACTGCAATGCTCAGTCATCCGTTTGGCTATGCATAACTAATAAAATTACTGGTTTGAAGCAATTAATTTAGAACGTCTACAATGATAGAATAGAGAAAACAAATGCTGGACTGTATTACAACAGGTCCAACAACATAGGGTTTTCATAGTCTTACTGCATAAATATGAGATGCCATAGCATTTTGCAGATCTTTTATAAAAAAAATGGATGTAATTCAGGTCCCAGTCAAATTGTCATGACAGTAATAAGCATACTATAATACTTAATGATGCTTAATGTCACAAGTAGTAGAATTGCTTTGGGAGGTTATAGAGCTACAGGGACCTGTTTGTAATATAGCATAGAGCTATGGCAGCCTGTTGTTTATAGCTGCAGAGAACTATGGTGGTGGGGTTGTCACCTTTCTTCTGGCAAAATAATGGACAGAGTAGAGGGTGGTGCTAATAGTGGTATCTGTATTGCTCTGCACCAAATTGTGTTCATCAGAAGCCTGCCCTTCACATCATGCCTCCCCCCTTTACATCAGGAGTCCTTTCAAATCAGAGGCCCCCTTCACATCAGGAGATCACCTTCACATCAAAGTTCTTCCTCCACGTCAGGAAATCACCTACACATCAAAGTCCCCTCTTCACATCAGGAGATCACCTTCACATCAGGAGATCACCTTCACATAAGTGTCCCCCCTTCCCATCAGGAGATCACCTTCACATCACGAACCCTTTCACATCAGAGTATACCCCCCATATTTGCAGCCCAGTCATGTAAGCCATCTAACCAGGTGTCTGATATTCCCACAAAGTCATACTCCTCTTTGAGTAGTAGAAATTCCAACTCTTTTTTATTCGCCAGATTTCTAGCATTTGCGAACATGCCTTTCAAGTTTTTACTAGTGGCTAGAATTTTCTTATTGCTCACAACTTCACAGCTATTAGCATCAGCCAAACTTCCTACAATGGGCTTTGAAAATATAGTTTTCCTGTTATCTGTTGTGTTCTCCACTATTTTCCCCACATGTATTCTATGGGACTTTTTTTTTAATCTCAGCTCATTTCCTGGTATAATCCTTTTTGATCTGCACTCCAATAGTTTATTTAGAGCGGGAAGGTGACACTAGGGTTTTTTTTGAAACCCTAGTGAAACCTCACAGTGATATTAAAGCTTAGTTTTTTTTTAATATTTCTTATTAGGAGGCCCACCTTTGTATAAAACTGCTAATCCATAGACACACACAGCCCTGTTTGCAGGCCATGCCCCTCCTCTCTGCCCAACAGTTTTAATTGATGGCAGAAAGAGCCTCCCCCCACAACCAGGAAGTTCGGGGGAACGGAGAGAAAAAGGTACTGGGCGTTTTTTTGCCTAATGCAGAGAATGCATTAAAGTGACATTAAAGGATCATTTTTTCCCCCTCCCCCCCCATGTTAATGTCAGCACTTACCTTAAATGATGTCTCTTAATCCGATTTTCCTCTTCTTTCCTGATGTTTTCATCTGTCCCTCCAGCGGTGCGGCGGCTCTCCGATCCAGCGCTGACTCCTCTCTGCTAGCAGGCACTCTTCTGATCCAGCGGTTTAATCCGATTTTCCTCTTCTTTCCTGATGTTTTCATCTGTCCCTCCGGCGGTGCGGCGTCTCTCCGATCCAGCGCTGACTCCTCTCTGCTAGCAGGCCCTCTTCTGATCCAGCGGTGTCTGCATGCGGGTGCATGCGTCCATAGACATACATTGCGTCTCTGCTCGTCTCCCGGCCGAGAATCCGAACTGTGCATGCGCCCGCCCCAAGATGCTTTGCGGCCGCCGTAGCAGTTTCGTTTTCTCGGACGGGAGCGCGCAGCCGAAACAAGGTAAATGTTAAGCGCTGTTAAAGCCGTTTTTTTCCCCCAACTTTTTGCCTATATCTACTGCTTGATAGCAGTAGATAAAGGCAAAAAAACGGGAGGGTTTAGAACCACTTTAAGGTTAAAAAAAATGCCCAGACCTTAATTCTACTTTAAAGAGTACCTGTCACCTCCAATTGCTATCACATAGGGGGCTTGTAAGCCCCCTACGTGATAGCAATAAAGTAAAGTAAAAAAATGTAAAAACTATTTAAAAGTCCCCTGCCACCGCGAGCACACGCGTATTAACATAAACACGCGTTGAGTGCGCCTACATATGAAAATGACTATCACGCTATACATGCTAGGCATGTAAGAGTGAGAGCAATAATTCCTGGGCCAATATTCACAGATATCTCTAAACTGATGTCGGGCTTTTAAAGCATCGCCTATGGACAAATTGGGGTACTGTACTTTGTCGCCGTTTCACAGACACACACAATTTTTAACCTGGGCATGTTGGGTATCTATTTACTCATCATAACCACATCTTTTATATTTTACAAAGAAATTGGTATTATATTGTGGTTTTGGGCATTAAAATAAACTCAAGTGAATTTTTTACAAAATTTGGGGGTTTGATAAAGAGTTGCGCTAATATCGTGAGACATAAAACTTGCAACTGCCACCATTTTATTCTACAGGGTCTTTGCTTTCAGAAAATATATATTATTTGGGGTTTTCTAAGTAATTGTCAGGCCTAAAATGTGGGTTATAACGTGTGCAAAATCACAAAAAAGGACTTGGCAGCGAAAAGGTTAAACTGAAGAGACCAAAAAGGTCCTAGTCCACATCCTCATCTTTCTGTATTCAACTACTGCAAGTGCTTGAAGGTCATATTCCTAGTTAACTCTGCACATGCAGTTCAGTGAGGTCCAGGCATGGCCTCCAAAGCTATTGCTGAGGATAGACCAGCCCCTGATAGCTACTGTGTAGAGACTGGCTAAAGTCATGTTTTTCAACATCTTGATCAAGGTCACCAATGAAAAAAAATCCACGTGGTAAAGAGTATATTTCTTGAAGAATAAGAAGTGTAGTAAAAATATAGTTCAAATTTTTCTCAGCAGTGCTAAGGAAAAGGTGTCCAACCTCCTAAGACACTAGAACAAAAGTCATGATGGTTGTAGGTGGGGTTGGCTTAATATTTTTTGTTTGCCAGTTTCCAACCTCCTGAAGGCAGCAGTATAACCCAAATGTCTAATAATAACTAGTGTTGCTCAATGGGCAATGTAGAAATCTTAATTTTCATAGGTGCATCACCAACGTTAACGTTTGCCATGTAAAAATAAAGGTGCCCTGACACCTTGTAGTGCTTTTGTTTTGTTTGTTTTACATGTGTATGACAAACTGCTTTCCTTGAGCTGTAGTGCATAGTAACACTGATAGAAGCATTACATGAGTATGGGAGAGGCTTTCTATCATTAAGGGATTTATAATTTAGGGTAAAGGAGGGGATGGTATTGGCTAGCCCATCCTTTGACGTGGTATTGCTTTCTACTTAAATATAGCAGGGGGTGGCTTAAAGTTGCTTGAATTTTTTCCAGCCAAGGAACGTTACCACCCCTTTAACCTTGTCAGTGGTTGAATGCTATCTGTGTTATGCCCTCTGGGGCTCTTGATTAGTCGGATGTCTGCCTGAAACATATGGTTAGGATAAGCAATTTGGCTCACAGTTGATCTGTGATGGTGTGGGTTTTTGCTCAAAATATAAGTCTGTTGTTTGCCGTTATCTATGTGGTTTAATAACCTAACAAAGCTGTGTTTTTGCACATTTGAACATTGTTGGTTTTAGGCCATGTTCACACCAAATGCAGAACAGATCTGCATGAGTTTCTGGTCAAATGCTTTTTTGGTAAAAAAATAATAATATCTATTTTTTTTAGTTTAAAATGGGCTTTCAGTGCGTTCCAGGCGTTTGTAATGCGTTTTTGATGCCTTTGCATGCGTTCCAGAGCAGGTAAAATAGGGCCTGCTGCAGTTTTTTTTTACCTGCTCTGGAACTGAACGCTGCGGTGTGAACTGAAGCTAAAAATACCATTGGAATGCATTGGACGCAGTTTTGCTTTGGTCTGTAACTGCTCTGCTCTACACCTGCTCCGCGCTTGGTGTGAACAAGGCCTATGTCTTTATCGAGCAACACCCTCTTTAAGTGGTTCTGTTATGGTAATATTAAGGTTTATTCTTCTTAGCAATCAGAAAATTTCCCCATAGGGAGATTTTAGCTTAGTTCCATCTTTGGGGCACCAGGACAACAAATAAGCATTCCTGAGATTTTTTTAGAACTCTATAAGCCTGAGATTGCTGAGGAAAGTGCGGTAATCCAATAGAGGCAATTGGGGGTGTGATCAAGATTGTAATATATTAGGAGCTTGGTTTGGTAGTGGCAGGCCTGCAGAGGACTAAATTATAGTAATATGGTCCTCTAAACAAACAAAGCTGGCTTGATAATTCAAATGGCAATATTGACAATGCATAGGCTGCAAATACGAAATTGTCACAATACATGGACAACATGCATTTAGTCATGTCAATGCATGGACACAAACAGGCAATCATTACAATACCTGGGCAACAAATGGGCAACCATTGCAATACTTGGGTGACAAAATGGCAGTCATTAAAATATACGGGGATTACGCAGGCAATCATTAAAATATATGGGCAACACACAGGCACCCTCTTCATGCTCCAGCACTGTCTCCAGCTTTCTCCTCCATCCAGTGCCACGAGGACTCTACGAGTTAAACAACAGACAGCATCATTCTGCCCATTTCCTGTGAGCCCCGGCCTGTCTTTGAAACACTCCCTGGTGATGCATCATCATGCAGCCTGGGCTCACATTACTGTAGGACTGAGTGGCACTCAGTGGCACACAACATTGCACAAGCAACACTCAATCCAGGAGGAAGACCCACTCCCATCGCCTCCAATAAAGAAGAGGAAGTGACCCTGACATCATGGACCT